AGGGCAAAACTACGTGCTAGCCAGAAGAGAGACCGCGAAGCCTGGTGGTCCCATCGTGCCTCGGAGATGGAAACAGCCGCTACCATTGGTAATCATCGTAAGTTATTCCATCTAATACGGAAAACAGACAGCAGGAGACCTAGTATTAGCGAGACCATACGCAACGAGAATGGGCAGCTGATCCACAGCCTGTCAAAAACCTTGGAGCGTTGGGCTGAACACTTTGCCAGACAATTTAACCAACCTAAGTTATCGCTTTCTTTTTCGGGCTTTGAGCGCCTTTCTCTCTGGGCCGTCTCCTTGGATCCGCCCTCACGCGCAAAAGTCGAACGTGAGATCAGGCTGTTTAAATTGCATAAGGCCGCAGGGGCAGGTAGAATTCCCCAAGCCCTCTTCAAATTCGAGGGACCTGCTCCGGTAGATCATTTACACGAATTGCTAGTGAAACTTTGGGAGCAGGAGACTGTCATGACAGACTGGAGCCGCTCCGTCATAGTCCCAATTTTTAATGGGGGGGGGGGGCGCCCGTTCGGAATGCGGCAATCCTAGAGGGATCAGTCTGATCACAATTGCCTCTAAATTGCTTGCCTCTATCATTCTTCACAGGCTGACTGGCACTCGTGAAAGTCATATTCGTGAATAGCAAGCCGGGTTTCGTCTATGTCGGGGCTGCATCGACCACATCTTCATCTTGCGTCTATTGTTGGAGCTATGCCATGTTTATTGGCGACTTACCGTAGTCGTGTTTCTCGACATCCAAGGTGTCTTCGATTCGGATGCTCGATGTGCCCTTCGAGGCTGTCTGCTGAGAAAAGGTGTGCTCGATAAACACGTATACATTATCAAAGCGCTGTACGCGCATTGTTCGGGCAGAGTGAGGGTTTATGGCAAATTGTCGCCACACTCCAATATATCCAGCGGTGTGAGACAAGGTTGCTCGCTGTCACCTTTTCTACTTAACTTCGCTATTGACGAAGTCATGGAATCAGCATTCGTTGGACACGATCTAGAAGATGTGAAGCTACTTCCTGGTGAGTTACTTCTTGACTTGGAGTACGCGGACGATATTTCCCTAATCTGTCATAGCTCCCAAACATGTCAAGCAGCACTAGACTGATTAGCACTGGCTGTCAATCGTTTTGGGCTATGCTTTTCTCCATCGAAATGCAAAGTACTTTTCCAAGATTGGCAGGGACCCAACCCTGCGCTAACACTTTGTGGTGATCTGCTAGAAGTCGTTCAGGAATTCAAGTACTATATATATATATATATATATATATATATATATATATATATATATATATATATATATATATATATTAACGCCCATGGGATCGAAGATGAGGTTACGAACCGTATAGCAAAAGCTCGGGGTACTTTTGCTAATCATCGCCACCTGCGACGCAGACACGACATCACTTTGGCCCTGAAGAGCAGAGTTTATAATGCAACTGTCCGTTCAACCCTCTTATACGGTTGTGAAACCTGGCCCATCAGGTCGACAGACATAAAGAGGCTAGTCACGTTTGACTGTCGCTGCCTTCGCAGCTTAGCTCATTCTGGTGGCACCACCGTGTGAGCAATGAGCGTGTTCGGCGTCGCGTATTTGGTACTGGAAGAGCTAGTGAACCGCTCAGCACTATTATGTCACGCACCAGTGTCCGATGGTTGGGCTACGTGTTGCGCATGCCAGCACACCGACTCCCGCGACGTGCATTGTTTGCGCGCCGGGGGGGGGGAGGCGGTTGGAAAAGGAAAAGGGGAGGCCAAGCGATGACTTAATGGAGAGAAATGAAAACCCTCATTTCGAAGTTGGCGTTGTTTGGTGCGTCCCGACTGCCTGACTGAGGTTCTAAGGACGATGAACACGTTTGGTTGGACACATTTGCTGATATGGCTAGGAGCCGGCCCCAATGGCGTTTGTGTTGTGAGTTCCTTTGTTCATCCCCCTCCTGCTTAGCATCCATCTCCAGTCACGATCACTCGTTAGGCATAATATAACCTTTTGCGGCACGATAGCCGGCTGTTAGCTCTCGGGAACAGTGTCCATCCGTTACTGGGGACTCAGCCAGCGTGCCACTATGTCTTCTTGTCTTTTGTATTGCGGCACAATAGCTGAGGTTTTTACACTTGCAGCTAACATGTATAATGAATGAATGAATGCTTTTTTCTAACGTTCTTGGATATGCGTTCCATGCTATCCCTTTTTCTGCACAAGTGTTGTGGCACTCAGCCAATTATATTGTAATTGGTAGTGTTGTATATATATATATATATATATATATATATATATATATACCCCATGCTGAGGCTGATGTTGCATTCTTGATGCTTCTTCACCGCAGTTGGGCTAAACCAACTTACACTTAAACTAGGTCTTTTTAAGCTGGATACATTTCATTCCACTTTATTTGGTTTGTTCTGCCTACCTGAATAATCTATTAACTGGCCACGTTTCTTACACTAATTGCACTCATCTTCGGTAACTTTGTTGCGTTTGTAGCATTTTTAAGTAACATGTGGACATTTTGTTACTTATCGCGGATGGGTTGCTAACCAACTTACTTCATATGCTAATTTAGCGAAGAGTTTTGCCACCGTATCTGTATGCATTATTGTATTTGTTTTATTTCATTTTGTCGTTACAGGTGATTGGCTGTTGGTTGTTATCCCCGGTGTGGCTACGCTTGACGTGCATGTTGACAAGGTACCTACCTGTCTATTACCCACCACCTCGTCCATACTGGCTCCAGGAGACAGTTGGTCGTTGCTGGAGGGGACGGGGTGCACGGTCCTTGTGGTTGTGCTAGGCTCGAAGAGTGGTTCCATGCAGTCAGTGTGGAGCGGACTACGGTCCAGCCACCGCCTTGTGTGCGCTTGATTCCCAAATACAGCGTGCTTGTGTTTGCCTGTGAAGGAGTGTGGGCCGGCTCCGTTGATGAAACGTGGCTCCCATCCGCATGCCTCCCGGTCTTATTCCTTCGGGTCTACTCTGTATATAGGGTGTGTGGTTGGAGCTGTGAGTGGTGCAGCGCAAGCGATCCATGGTCCCTCTGTAGGCGCAGGCGTCCTGTGGCTGGCCACAGTGACAGGCAAATCCGGAACCGGATGCAGCCAACCATATATGCATTCCAGACCATTTCAGAAACGACTGAAATACTTGTCTTGCTGCAGTGCTTTTCAGTTTCGGCTTTGGTTAATCTTACTGGTGTTATTTCCTACACAAATGGCCATCGATGTCATCCACTTTCTAGATAGTGCGCTCTCTAGCCGTTCACCTGTCACTTGGTCTAAGAAGAGTACGAAGAAGTGTATGACGTCATGCGGGTGTGGAGTTTATCCTTCATTCCATATCTCACTCGATTTCTTTTTGACTCGAACGCTGTTATCCAAGAATCGATTGCTAACGTTTACCATTTAGGTTGCACTGCACATTCAGCTCCGTTTTTGCTGCTGTTTTGTCACTATTGTATGTGTTACACCGTTTTCTCATACCAATGAGATGTGTTACAGCTGAGAATTCACCTTTCCTTTGTGCGTTAAACCACATTAAGTTTACTGGTTTTGCACACGGTTACTTCTCTGCATTCGTTTTTGACTGGCAAAAGAATTTGTACGAGCATGTTCGTTTGCTCCAGCTTGCTGTTGAATTACCAGTTGAGGCATTGAGTTCCCTGTACTAACTTACATGACACAATAAGAAGACGAATGTTGCAATATGGTACCATTTTGTGCCCCCTGTTCACTTGCAAACAGACAACACATCGAATCATAACGTGAAAAAGTAATCCATAAGTTGAAAGCGAGGGGCCACATGCAAGCGAAGTAAACGTTGGCTACAGGTTGAGGAGGAATTATTAACTCCAAGGGAGTTTGAGCGTAACGAATGTTGTTAATTCCGGCACGCAGGATATGCAATACGGAATGCATCGAGGCTGAATTGCAATTCATCACGCAGACCCTACGGGCAAATGGCTACCCAGAAGCCTTTATTAGGTTTCATAGCCGTCCCGCGGAAAGTGAACAGCCGGTCGTTCTTACTGTACCAAAAATGCCTGTTTATCTGCGACTACCCTTCAAAGGGGATGTTCTGGCTAGGCAAATAGAACGACACACAGCAGTTGCAATACGGCGTGCATTCGGTGCCGCCAAATTCTGCCTTCTCTGGACAACCAAGAAGCTACCACTGCCCCCAGTCAAGCCTACTAAGCCGGCCTTCTCCACAACGCACTGTACCTATCGATTTGTTTGTAACAGTGAAAGCAGTTACATCGGCATAACAGACCGTTGCTTGTGTAAGCGGGTTGGGGAGCACATTCCGAAGCGTATTGTTACCTTGACATGGCAGCAGCAAACGGAATCTGTGTCGACGAACAACATACCTACCTCTTCGATTGCGAAACACCTGATGGAAACGGGTCATCAAGTGGACCCCAACTCGGCTTTTTGTATCATCTATCGTAACCTAAACGCCAAAGTCCTCAAGTTTACCGAGGCAGTGGCCATAAAAAAGCATTCTCCAGCATTATGCATCCAGAAGCAACTGTCCGCTACTTTTAAACTCCCTTGGAGTTAATAATTCCTCCTCAATCTGTAGCCAACGTTTACTTCGCTTGCATGTGGTCTCCCGCTTTCAACTTATTGATTTCTTTTTGTTCGTCGCAGTCAGCCGACAATTTCTTTCTTTCTTTTTTCACGTTATCCCTTGATATGTGTCCGTTTGCAGTTGAACAGAGGGCACGAAATGGTACCATCTTGCAACATTCGCCTTCTTGTTGTGCTATTTAAATTACCATTTACTGTTTTATCCTCTTACAACCAGTATACCTCACTAGTTTTTGTGGGTACACGTAATATCTGTTGTCAGTTCTACTCTGTTTCGACCCTTTTTGCAGCTTTCAGTAAATTATCGGTGGCAGCTTCCGCCATAGCATTTATACAACTACAACGAATACAAGATTCGTCGACCTTCACTTGTCAGCGCTTCTGCGTCACTAGACATGTACCTCACAGCTGAAGGCCTGCCGTCTGACAGGCTGAGAGAACTCGCCCAGCACTATACTTCTGGCATGAGTGGACCGGAACTGCAGTCGTTCTTTTCAGAAGTTTTGCAATCTAATGAAGTCTGGAAGATAGGCTTTCTCCTCATTTCCAGTAGTGGGATATCACAGGAGCAGTTTTTCGGTCTATCGATTCTGAATGGTGCAATTCGCGCCTCTGTAAGCTACATTTTTCCTTATTACTTGTAGTCTTACATTATGTCCGATGAATTTACGGCCGAGGTTCGTGCTGCAATCTTACGCGTTGTCGAGGATAACACCCGAATGTCTCAGGTCTCACGTGCAGACATACGGAATTCTGTTTTGAAGAAAGCTTTCGAATTACTAGCCCAGATGTTATTCCGGATTGAGGATTTTTGGAGCTCTCCCATCAATGACATGTTCGATCTAATTGGTTTTGGTGAGTTACCGCGCCGTACATTTGGCGATTTTCTGATCTTAAGTCCCTCTGACATACGACAGCAATTTTGCTATGAAACAACCTTTTTGCCGCTCTGATTTGCAGGACTCCAAAGCGTCTCGGATACCATGTTGATACATTCAGTTTGACAATTTGATCTTAGAAATTCGTATTACTGCTTGACTTTTCCCACAGCGGCGGTGTTTCCTGTGCTGCATGCATCCTACAGACTCACCAACTTGGCACACGCTATTTTCGAGCATATGGTCCTCGGGATGAGCCACGTCAGTGGTTGTCTGGTATGGCGCAGTCACTAACTTAGTGATGCTCTTTCATTCGGCTTTTTGCGGTCAGCTGTTACTATTCGACCATGGTTAACTACCTTTCAGCCTAGTCCTTTCTGACATTCTATTGCATTCTACCTCATTTTTCCTACCATCGTTGGCTATTGTTAGTCTGTCAACGCTGCTCGCGACGACGGAATCCATCGTACTTTAGAGCCCTCATCGTAGTTGTTTAACTGAACTTTCTTGATCATACAGAGCAGTACATCGCCGGCGACGCATCAAAACATTTCAGAACTAGGATCATTTAGTACACATGAATGGTTGTCGTACGTTGGAGGCGATAATTGCTTGCCTGTTAATAGCATCTGTTGCCTAAGTGTGATTTGTTGTCGCTGGAGTCCTTAGCCAACTAACATGGTGCACCACGTGAAGTCTGACAACACACTTTAGCGCCCAATTAGGTTGCCTCATAAACACACATCTACAATCTATGTTCCTATTTCTCGACCATCTAAATAGGCCTGTGTTGTTCCACTGTTACCCTTTTTTAGACTAAGTGCCATATGATCAAGTGCTTTGTCTCATTGAGATTCGATCTTAGAATGGTGCGATATGTTGCCTAGTTTTGTCAGTAACATTTCTCAAGCTTCATAACAATCCGTTATACTACACGTATCAAAGAGTAGAGCTCTGGTAAGCCCAGTCACTATCGTCACAGACTGTTTCCAATAATAGGTGAGCACAGCCGTTGGTGTCGTGAGTCAGGCATCTGCCTTGCATTTCCTTGATACGATTTCGAGTCCCCGCCTTGGCATTTCAACCCGTGTTAAATCGCTTTCGGTTGTGTAGTGTGCTAATGATATTCCTGCCTTTGTCTCCCAGCACTGAGTACTGTATGTGGGAGCAAGTGGAAATATAACTTTGTACAACTCCATCGCAATATAGACAAAAATAGTATAATAAGTGTCTGCACTCCATAATAACCGAATCATTTGACAAGTTCTTATGTAGCATTTTAGAATATCTGACTTACAGTTTCACAGGTTTCACAAACGCAAGATATTGCTGGTTGCAGTCGTTCTCTGAATCGAATGGGGAATGAAATACAAACCCAATAAGGTTTTAAACTGTTGTACAGATTTAGCCTTCACGACTGGTTCTGGCAGACTATTCCAAACATTTACCACTCTCCGTTCGAAGTACAGGAGGTGGGGTAATCGTTTTATATCTCGCAGCACAAGCTCGTACCGGTGTCCGCGTGTGTTGTATGGCGTTTACAAATGTAGTATCGACTTCAGCATGAGGAAGTCACCGGAATGTAATATCCGGTAGTTCATGATGAGGTCGTCTCGCACTCAACGATCGGATAATGTGTAGACTCCGAGTTTCTCGCACCGGTCTTCGTACGATAATTCTCGTAAACCTGGTATGAGCCTGGTGGCGACGTGTTGGGCTCGTTCGATTTTCTGTGGCTCGCTTCGGGTGATTGGGCAGTAGGTAGGTGAGCCATACTCCAGTATTGGTCTTATGATGGAAGTGTGGGGGGGAGTGGCGACCTCTTCAGATCTAGTACAGAAGCTGCGTTTGATCGCCCAAAGCATGCGCAGTCCTCTACGATATAGTCTGTTCGTGTTGTCAACAGACTTCAAATCGCAATGCGAGAGTACACCTAGATTCTTCAAGGAAGGTGTGGGATGTAGCCGTTGACCGTCAATGGTGTAAATTCGTGCTTCATGCCTATCAGTCCTTGACCAATAATATAGGAACCTATTAAAACCGGCGTATGGTTGCCAATGACCACAGCTGTAGTCAGAATGTCTACGTTAAGGACTATCTGTAGTCACCTGCAATCAGACCCCGTGGTATCTCACATCCATACTTCCGATTTACATCTGCTCCCCAGTGCCTTTACGGTTAGCTTTCAAAGTCACTTGCTCGAGTTGTGTGCCATCAAATAGAACACTTATCTTGTAGTTAACAACCTTAGGCTACCATCCGACTACGGAAGCCCGGCACCCTCGTATTTTGTTTATAATTTTTCTATGGTTTCTTATTTTAGTCAGTAATAAACCACAACCATGTCACCAGCTGCACCTTTAAGGATGCTTACTCATTTTCTTTACTCACTGGAATATATATCAGGTGTTGCAATGTTCACACCCTGTGCTGTCTGGTCGATGACCTACACCAGTAACTTTGCACACTCTTCGCGTTAACTTCTTGGAAGCACTCAACAACAATCTCGTTATAGATACGCTACCGCATTCGGGTGTTAGCGCTTCCCCATTTCCCCTCTCTAGTTAGTTCGAATCAACATTTTCCATCTCGATGGGCGTCTTTCGGCAGTGCACATACCTATTTTGGCCTGCGAGCACAAGCAAATCCAAAAACCATCGGTCAAAGAAGGTGTCTGTCATTCAAGTATACGCTGTCACCAACTGCAGTCCTGAAGACCACGTATGGATGCTATTAGAATATTTCATCCCTCTCCTATAGGGTCGTTATCGCGAGTGTATCAGTGTTCGAGTGAGACACATCAGAATCAGTACACCACCACATAGCCTGCCGTACTTATGATAGTGCTCGATGTGATCAACTTTAAACTGATCACACCTTTAAGTTATGTGCGCTGTTCGCAGATGACTTAAAGGTGTGAAGAGTAATCCGCACACCCAATGATTGTGACCTGCTTCTGCATGACCTCGACCGCCTGTCCACGTGGTCTGCAGAAGTCAACCTTCCGATCAACCCGGTCAAGCAATATATGATGCTGGGTAAGTGTGAGCACAGTCGAACATACACGGTGGCCGGTCAACCGTTGCATCCCGCGCCTTTCATGCGAGACGTCGGTGTACTCGCACGCTACGACCTAGAGTCCATGGACAACACGAATAGGCTTCACCAAAACAGCGTATGTTTTGGGCACTCAGACGCAGCCTCAGCACTTTGTCCGAAGAGATTACCACTCGCCTCTTCGTCTCAATAATACGACCAATGCTTGAGTATGGCTCTCCCACGTATTGTCTTATCACCCGGGGCGAGGTAAAAAGATTGAGCGAGTGCAGCCACTAGGCTGATTCCCAACTTAAGAGGTATACCGTACGAAGACCCGTGTAAGAAACTAGGGTTGTACACTCTAGCTTATCATCGACTTAGGGTTGACCTCATCATAATGCACCGGATATTATCTCTGGGCGATTACCCCATCTTGAGACCAGCGCTTCATCTGCACACACCAAGCAACACACGAGGACACCGGTGCAAGCTTGTCGTACCGGATTTTAAGCGGGTCGCTCACCAACTCCGTTTCGAACGCAGAGTGGTGAATGTATGGAACAACCTGCCGCAGCATGTAGTAGAGGCAAAGTCGGTGTCAGAATTTAAGAAATTCCTGGACAAACACTTTGCCGACATAAAATATATCGAGCGCACCACAACATAATGGGTCTTTGTCCTTGAGTGACATTAGCTGCAGCTTCACAGAGAAACCTCTACTTGCTACTTCCAGCCAGTAATCAGTAATCACAACCCCATTTTGGCAGCATCTTTCCATCACTAGTGACACAACAAACGACTGTTCTCCCTGGACTCAGAATAATCACATCAGTATCATATACATATAGCGCACATCAGTACAAATGGTCGGTCGGTCTGATCTTCATTATGCATTGCTGCGCACGTACTTAGTTCCCATGACTGCGCCCGAGGGTGCCAGATTCCCGCTTCTACAGGAGTTTAAGCCTTCCTACAGTGTCCCAGCCTGCCTACAACCTTTTGTAGCTCCATGGAAACTAACCATTTGTACTGAGTACTGTTGCAATGCCCAGTTCTCACTGTTTCGGCTTAATCTACAACACCATCACCACAACTTCGGATGTCAATTGTTTGTGCGCTGAGTTTGTGGAGATTTTACTGATACCTCATTGCGGGTCCTACACCACTTCTGTCTCATGCTCGTTTTTATTCCCGTTTTCATCACAATTGATTTTTACCCATCATCAACCCAGCACTGGTCACAGAATGACCATATAGCCATAGGTTTCAGGTGGCGCAGCAGCGTACGCGGCTGCCGATCATTTTGCTCAACATGCGTCGATACCGCTCACGCACTGATATGTGCGACCGTTTGCATGCGTTTCGATGGCTCACCTAGGTCAAAACACACCCGACTGAACATCTACAAGTTGGAGGACTCAATGGTGAAGAAGAAGTATCAACGATGGCTTCGTGAAAATCTCGCTCTTTCTCCCACTCTGGATGTTGATCAACACTGGTCAAGTCTGCAACAAGCCTTGCCGTCGGCCGGTTTGTCTAGTTATGTTCTCGCTTGCTCCACTCCCAAAAATTGGATCTCAGGAAGATCCTCGGTATTGTTGGATCGCCGACGGGTGGTGCCTAATGGCGCAGAGTACAACGAACACCACCGGTCTATTACGCAACAGCTGGAAGCAAGCCTTCGCTCTGATCGTGAATCTTGATGCTCAGAACAAGCTGATGAGATGGAATCCGCTGCATCAGCTGGCAACTTCCGCCGTCTATTTTGCATCATCAGGGCCACCGGTTACAATTCCCACGCTATCGGCCAGAGGATTTACGAATCAGACGGCACGAAGATCTGCAACCTTCACAGGCGGTTCGGTTGCTGGGCAGAGCATTTCGCTCTCCAATTCAACCACCCAACACAGCCCCCTGTGGCGCCTCCAGCCCCACTGG